TCACCTGTAAAATAAACTAATGTTGTCTGATACCTTGTGGCCTCCAACGATAATTTGATAAAGTATTTCATTTCTGTTCCAATTTAATTCTAAAGAACTATTAGTATTCACAGTAAGAAGCAAGTAAGGTTTTGGATCATTTTTTTAAAATAGATTTGAGGTGTACAGTGCTAATAAATCAATGTTGAAGGTAGCAGAGAGGTGCCTCTGGGAGAGATAAAATCAAAGTTTCAGTTTTGTTTCTACCAATTTCTAGTTGAATGACGTTGAACAATTTACTTTTTTTGGCCTTAGTTTTCATACGTCAGAAGTGTGCGTTGTGACCAGTAGGTGGCATGGTGGTTAAGGCATTGGACTCCCACATGTCTGACCATGGTTCAAGTCCTATACCTGGAGGCTTGCTTTCTCACTTTCCCTCTCTCCCTGCTTCTCTCTGGTGAGTGCATGTGCCCTAGAGCAAATTCAAATAATGATAATAAATAAATTATTAAATAAACAGTAGTTTAAAAATGAACAAAGTAAATAAAAAATGTAGATAGTTATATCTAAATCATAGAACTATCATGAGTATTAAGTGAGATAGATACTTAGAGAGACCGGGCACAAACTACCTACCCTCTGTTGTGACCCACATGCCTTTCCCAGAAAGGCCCATAAACTCAGTTACTTGCTGTTTTGGGAATATTCATTCTTAATCGTCTCAAGTTTGGGGATATATTTTCTTTTACTAGATTCCTTTCTTTCTGCACATGGCTACCATGGGAGAAGCTCACAGCTGTTTTACTCATGTCCAGAAATAAGTCAACCAGTCCCAGTTGCAAGGGTACCTGACAGCTGTATCCAGCCTTTCTAGGAGGCCAGAACTGGAGCCGGGTGGTAATGTTTCAAGGGCAAAGCTCTAGATGTAAAGAATGATAAAACAAAACCTAAATGAGCTTGCACATATCTAGTGACAGACACACCACAGCTATTCTAAATTATTCAAGCTTTCTCAGGCTTCTAACAAGAGAAACATAATTCATCTCTGCTCTCTTTATTCTATTCTCATATAATGGCAAAGTAACAAATAAAAAATACACCCCCCTAAAAAAGGAAATGATAATAATCACCCAAAGTGACAAGAATTTCTTGTAGTATTTTTAGAACCATCCAATTTCTGGGAACTGGCCTTGGACATAGAAGTTAAAATAATTTTGCAATACTTATGGGTGATTTCCTTACTTTCCTTTTGTTAACATTTTGCTGGCAAAAAGCCAGTAAAACAGTTGTTTAATTACCCAGGATATCACAAACATATAACCTCTTAGATAAGCTGTTACTGTATTTTAGCAGCAATAACATTAGGGTCAAAACTAACAAAGAAAATTCATCTTCAAATAAGCAAACCTCAAAAGAACAGCTTTGTGTGTTGAGAATAATTAATAACTTGTTTAGGAAAATGTTACTGAAATGTGGTTTTTGGAAAAGGAACTGACACTTTTCAGAGGTTAGATACTCTAATATTTAACAGGTTACCATTTGGTGGGCTGGCTGGCTGGCTGGCTACCCTGTAGGCATGGCAGTTTGTTTGCATGTAATTATGCAACATTTAGACAATATCTTAATGATACCATGTAGTTCAGCTGAATCAGTCCAGCTGGAAATTGTAGCAGCATTCTGATTATCTGGCCACATGTGAAATCAAGTTTTTTTCAACCTCTACTTTTCACTTGCTATGTTTTGATACAGATGTTCTTGGAAAGCCTAAATTATTTATAGTTAGACAATATTTAGCAGAGGACGCCCTTCCCCCCTTCATTTTTAACCATTAAGGTTGCACTTCAATATAAGCTATTTAGCTTATAATTTTACAAAGGTCTATTAGTATACTTCATCACATGGAAGAGACATTATTTTGTACAGTAATTTTCCACAGCTGATGTACGTTTTAAAAATGGTATATTTTTAGTTTTGCAGCTAGCTCTTAGGGTAAAAATAAAATTCACTGTGCACCCTGGAAATGATTTTACTAAATAGCACATCACAGAGTAGTTTTTATTTTAGAAAGTGGTAATTTAAGTTATACAAACAGACTGGTCCTTAAATCACATCATAAAACACTTAACATGTAGTAAAGGCGAGATCAAGATAGTGTAAGAAAATTTTATAAAGGAAGAAAGTTTGTAAAGGTTAACCCTCTGAAATTTTCTTATATACCCCTTAGTTTCCTCCATCAACTAAAACTTAAAAAAAAATCCAATCTACGAAAAAAATAAATAAAAAAAAATTTCTTTCTTTTTTTTTACTTTCACCTTACTCTGTCCAGCTCAATGTTTGGACAGCTTCTTTGCCATCCTCCTAACTGGGTGACACCACAACTGTTTATTTTAGAAATAAACAAAGGTATTAAATTCTATATGAACAACACCAAGAAAGGGACACATAATATCTAATGAATTCAGGTAACAAATTACTTTCAAGCAAAAATAATCATCATTAACATTGTATCAACCATTTTCTATGAACTACAGTGGAAAACAATATAGGCAATAGAGTATTTCCTATCTCTCCTCCTGAACTTCAACCTCTACTTTTCACTTGCTATGTTTTGATACAGATGTTCTTGGAAAGCCTAAATTATTTATAGTTAGACAATATTTAGCAGAGGACGCCCTTCCCCCCTTCATTTTTAACCATTAAGGTTGCACTTCAATATAAGCTATTTAGCTTGTAATTTTACAAAGGTCTATTAGTATACTTCATCACATGGAAGAGACATTATTTTGTACAGTAATTTTCCACAGCTGATGTACGTTTTAAAAATGGTATATTTTTAGTTTTGCAGCTAGCTCTTAGGGTAAAAATAAAATTCACTGTGCACCCTGGAAATGATTTTACTAAATAGCACATCACAGAGTAGTTTTTATTTTAGAAAGTGGTAATTTAAGTTATACAAACAGACTGGTCCTTAAATCACATCATAAAACACTTAACATGTAGTAAAGGCGAGATCAAGATAGTGTAAGAAAATTTTATAAAGGAAGAAAGTTTGTAAAGGTTAACCCTCTGAAATTTTCTTATATACCCCTTAGTTTCCTCCATCAACTAAAACTTAAAAAAAATCCAATCTACGAAAAAAATAAATAAAAAAAAATTTCTTTCTTTTTTTTTACTTTCACCTTACTCTGTCCAGCTCAATGTTTGGACAGCTTCTTTGCCATCCTCCTAACTGGGTGACACCACAACTGTTTATTTTAGAAATAAACAAAGGTATTAAATTCTAAATGAACAACACCAAGAAAGGGACACATAATATCTAATGAATTCAGGTAACAAATTACTTTCAAGCAAAAATAATCATCATTAACATTGTATCAACCATTTTCTATGAACTACAGTGGAAAACAATATAGGCAATAGAGTATTTCCTATCTCTCCTCCTGAACATAAATAAAAGCATTGAAAAAACTATCTGTAAATATCTTATTACTTGTAAATGTATTGCTAATTTTAGAAAATGGAAATAGTAGCTGAAGTGACCAAAGTTAACTTGAATGTGAGTCTCCAACAATGCTGTCTAATTTTTTGGAAATCTTCATTTAAAAATAAAATGATAAATTCTGATCTGCTGTCATTCCATTGGGAACTGGGACTTTCTGGGTCAATGAACCTTGAAATGTGTGTCTCATGGGTTTAAGTTAGCTGACAGATATATGCTTGAAATTCCCCAACAGCTAACATATAAAACAAGTGCTCTTAAAGGTGACTTGGAATTTACCATTGAGATAATGCTCAATGGTCATTACAGATGTTTAAGTGTCATTGTCTACTGTCTTCAGTGTGTCATTACATAGCATTGGGATCTTTTCAAAGAACAATCAATAGAGAGTGAATAAGTCTCACCACTTGAAAGTAACCAGGAAAGGAAGCCAAGGGGAAATCTGGTTTTGTTGGATTGATCCAAGCAGAGACACCATATCCACCCCTTCTCTCCTCATTCTCCCTCCCCTGCCCAGCCCACATCCCTGCAAGACAGAAAGAAGAGAGAAAGAAGGGAAACCAGAAAGAGAATGGGAGAAAGAAAGAAATACAGGGATTCTGGGCATCATTTGTACTGAGGAGAAGAACCTCACCCTGTGGGATCAACTACAGCCCTGGAAACAGATTTATGGCTTTTACTTTGAAAATAAAAGAATGACAATGAAATGTGTGTGAGGTCTGCGCGAAGCCGGTCCCAGATGTTTACTATGCCGTAGTAGTATGGCTTTGCAATATGAGAGGTTTCAGAAGAAGCAGTACAACAGGACCCACAAAGCAGTGCATATGCTATTGACAATGCAGACCGGAGCATCATGTTACCGAAGGGAGGCAGGCAGAAGACAAATAGTGGTGCCTGAAAAGCTAACTTCATGGACTGCAATCACTCAAACCAACATGAGGGACCCCCCCCCCCAAAAAAAAAATCAAAACCAGAAAAATGCTTTTCACTCCTATCTAGGTGGTGGGGTAAAGGGATGGGGCTGAGGAGTGAGTGGAACTGAGTTTTCTTTCTTAAATCAAGTTCCCATAAAGCCCCTATAATTGACGGGCGGATAATTATTTTCAGCTTGAGGAGCCTGTCCCAAACGCTTAACAAGACCGCCAGCGAAAGGAAACAAAACGTATTTACTTGAGCCCTTTCCAGAAGGGAGGGAAGGGAACCTTGGGCTGAGGGGAAGGGCGCTGCAGATAGAACGCCGCATCTTGGTCCTGCACCGACTCTCGGGCGCCCTGCGTGGTCGGGCGAGTGACAAGCTCGCGAGCCGGGCGGATGGGTGGCAGGGGTGGGGGTGTGGAGGGAGCTCGCCCAGGGGGGGGGGAGCGGGCGGTTTTTTTTTGGGGGTAGTGTGAAAGTATTCCACTTAATCATTAGACAGGGTTGGGGACGTAAATATGTAGCTGGCCACATCTGGAACCCATTTCCCCCCGTGCGGGGTGGGGGCGGATAATTGGAAGGAGGGCAGCGCGCGTTTGTGACTTACTGTACGGGCAGTTCTCCTTCTTGGTACCGCTGACCTTCCCGTTCTTCTCGATCTTGAGAAAGTACTTGGTGAAAGAGAAGAGCTTTCTCCAGCGGACATCCCCTTGGAGGTGATTGTAGCTCCGCACATGCCTCCCCGCACTGGAAGGAGGGGAGAAGGAGGAGGAAGAGTTGGTGGCCTCTGGTGACACCATGTCCTGACCAAGGGCTTGGCAGGTGACAGGGACGGAAGACACCAAGAACAGCAACAAGAAGCAGCAGCAGCAGCAGCCGGGCAGGTGGGGAAAGGCTGAGGCACAATGTGTCAGTATCCATTTCCACATTGTCCTGAAGCTCTCGGCACTGGGGATTGTCTCATCAGAAGGAACATACTGGAAGGGTAAGACCTGGTGCAAGGCGAGGAGACAGCTGGAGGTGGCGGCTGCTGGTTAGCTCCCTCTGGGCGCGGATCTGGCCAGAAGTGAATGCACCAACATCCATAACTCCTCGGAAGGGCCGGCTGCCTCTCCTCGCTCCTTGCTAGGATCTGCCTGTGCCTCCCAGCCTCCGGGTGAATGGTGGACGTGGGTGGCCCCACAGCAGGAGCTGGTGGTGGCGGTGGTCACCAGCGCTCTTCGCTCCCCCAGGAGTTACTTTGTTCTCTTCTTCACTCCTTTCTTCACCATGTTAGATGCAAAAAGGTCTGAAAAACAGATGACAGCACGGTGAACAAAACCCAGAGGGGGTGGACTGAGGGGTAGGGGGAGATCTCTGCGCCCCTCTGCGGTTGGCACCTTCTGATCCCTCTCTGCGGATTCCCAGCCTGCTAGCCACTTCTAAAAGTGTGTCCCTTTGGAGTTGTCAGAACCGGAGGTGGCTGCCCGGTCGCCGTTGTTTTCTTCTCCTGTTCCTTTCTCTTTTTGGTGGTGCCTGTTGATGTGAAGCCTCCAGAAAGTGACTTCTTGTTTGGGGGGATGGCGGCTGGTGTTTTGTTTGGCCCTGTCCCCCTCTCCCCCTTCCTTTGGAAAGCCCGCTTGTAAACAGGTTGAAGCCTGGAGTTTAAATGTCAGTGATTCTAAGCCAGAGGTGGGCTCTGCCTCTGCTGGTCAAACCTCATTTGCAGGGGTGGGGAGGCGGGGGGAGGGGGTCAAAC